GGGGGGAATATGCACCACTTGGAAACGGTAAAGGATAGCCATAAATCCACAGATCTATTATTTAACTCTGCGATAATGGCCGGCCGAGTTAGCAAATGAAGAATGAGTAAATCTCTGCGGGAAAAATTCCACATTTCGCATTAATCAATCGTAAAAATATTGTCTTGCAGTAGCTATGAGTCTTTCGTCCACCAAATAATAACTTTCTATATAAAGTAAGATTTGAGTGGTACCTTTTTCTAATGTTTTTCTTCTAATTTCTCTATGCACCTTTTTTCCTGTTTAAGAGTCTTGAACTCTCCAAGTGCTTCAGTGGTTGCTTGTCTGTGTGTTTTAAAACCCATTTCATGATAACTTATTTTAATGAGCACGATTGATATTAGAATTGTGGTGACGATATGTTACACCTACTCAATTCTGGGAGATCTTTTCGAATTTCCATTGACAACGGTGTCGTTGACCTTCATAGTTGAGTATGTTTGGACAGTTTTCGTGATTGCTATTAACCCTATTTTCTCAGCGTTAGTTGGGTTGGTTCTATGGGGGGGGAGGGGGGGGAGGTTATATGATTGGAGACATTGTCTACAAAACTATATGTATTTCGTTTGGATGTCTAGCGAAAACTTCTGGAGGCCGAGCAGAATACAAATTGGCGTCGACAGCTAACAAGTGCCTTTGAAGCTGCACTCCAACGGCTCAAAAATGCTCACACACGTAAGAATTATTGGTATCTTTTTTTAAATTTTCCTTTGTCACCACCGGGAATTTCGGTGTAATCCAGTGATCTTCTTCCTTGATCTTTTTAGAAGGTCAAATCACAGCTTATCCATTTTTGAAAATTCTTCCGAAGAAGTCGTATGTCGATCTCATGATACAGGTAACAATCACGCCTTCGATATCCAAATTTTTACGCTACTGAAATGGTAATAAGTAAACACTTGGTTGTCTATATAGGCTGTGAACACAATCGTAACGAATACCGAGCTTCAGCATGTTAGTCGTAGCCTCTTCCTACTCCAACTTGGGGAACGGGTAGAATCTGCGTGTCTTGTCTGGCGAAAACAGAATGTAGGAATTATTGATGAGGTCAGTGGATGGGCTTTATGGAGGAATCTATGGATGCCCTAATTAAACCTTATTAATGCTTCACCTTTTAGATGGGTAATGTGTACAAATTGTATGCTGACTTCTTTACGGCACCTACAAGGAAACACGAACATTTCAGAGAGATGTGGCTCCGAGCTCTTCAAGTGAATGCGGAAAGTGGTATCAGTTTGGTGAGTAGTGTTCGAACTCTGTACTCAATTCCATATGAGTAGTAAGAAAAATGCCTCTCTTAGGACCCTGAATGGCCTAAATGGAGCAACCAGATTCGCATGGTAGTCGGTCAAGAGCTCTACCGAATTCTCTATGATCACCTCACTTTCAATACTCATGCTATGAAACCCCCAAATCCTGACAACCAACATCCGCGTCAGGACGCCCCAGTTTTATTTGAAGTAACCTCTGATGATCCTGGTGCGGCTCGTTATGAAATTCGGGTACGTCGCAACAACACAACTACTTAGAAGACATTTAAGTAGATGTGGTTTTGTAAAATATATAATTTTAAAGGTGCATCCAATCCTACTGAAGTGGTACAAGGCGAGTGGTCGACATGCTTCTCTAGTCTTCAATCCCACTGAGCTACCAATGCTTTGTCCTCCATTGCCGTGGGTTGATACCAAACAAGGTGGTTACCTTCTATCTTCAAGTGAGTCCAATAAACTAGATTACTGACGTTATTTTACTATGAGCAATTGATGAAGCTGTCATGCAATTGGTGGGATGTTTCCTTTGATTTTTATGCCTAATGCTAAAAAATTGGATTTCCTTGTGCTTTATGTTCTTCTGTTTTTATTAACCCCGTTATGATGTGTTTTATTATGAGGTCTATGGCTATATGCGATTCAGAACGATGCCTGGTCGTATCTATTTCCTGCAAAAGTCTCTATGTATATACTAAATGTATGCAGAGTTTTTAGCGATGTCTATATGACTTTCAACTGTGACAAGACCGAAACTCTTTGTTTCCACGTAAGCAACTCAACGACAAATGTCCCTAACGGATCAAACCAGATTTCAATTTAAGTCCGAATGCAAGTTGAAATAGGATGTTAACTCAGTAGTTTAGACGAAATTTGGCAGGCTTTATGATAGTTGCCATTAGCCCTTTAGTTGACTTCGGGCTTCACAGAGGGATAGGAACATCAAAGTGAAAAAAGGTCGAGAAGGAGAGGGAGGGGGACAGAAGAGTGGTTCAAAGATGTAAAAGAGATAGACACAAAGGTAGGGTGATTCAAGATGTAAAGAGAATTTCAAAGATGTAAAAGAACAGACAAAAAAGTGAGTGATTCAAAGATGTAAAAGAGACAGGCACAAAGGCAGGGGGGGGAACAGAAGAGTGTTTCATAGATGTAAAAGAGAGAGACACAAAGGCAGAGTGTTACAGAAGGTGAGGTGAGTACTGTGAAAGTAGTCGAATATGACAAGGTAAGATGAGTACTGTGAAAGGGGTCAAATATGACAAATAGTCGAGGTAAGATGAGTACTGTGGAAGGGGTCGAATATGACATACGGTTGAGGTGAGTACTGTGAAAGTAGTCGAATATGACATACAATAAGGTGAGTACTGTGAAAGTGGTGGAATATGACATACAGCGGGGTGATGGCAGTTTGAAGTTAGAAGTCAACTGCCGGTTAGTAAACTTTTTGCCTTATGAGTGTACGTTGCCTAGGGTGCACCACGTGGAGGTAAGTCTATCGTCGTTGCCTAGGGTGCACCACGTGGAGGTAAGTCTATCGCATACGCCTTTTAGAGTGCGCTGAGAAGAGCCATTTCGTTACCTTCGCGAGGAATATATACTAATTAGAACAAATTGCCCGTATGCTTTTATTAAAGTAAACTTATAAGAATGTTTGGAATCAGTAAACTAAACTGAGAATTGAATTTGCTACACATTGTTTTTGACAAATATACTTTCACAAATTATTCTTCAGGTGACTCAACCCGTTTCATACGAAAAACGACCTACTTCCCAGGTGCAGATGCAGCTGCTGACGATGATTTAGACTTTGATATTTCTACCATTCCTCGCGTTCTAGACTCTCTTAATACTCTTGCAGCATGTCCTTGGAAAGTGAATCAACCGGTATGTCCTCTTGTATTGGATCAATTGATCGTTTCCTGCAGATTTTAGATGCAATGCTATTGGTTGCTCGAGGTGGGGGTGAGAAGAACTTGAGTATGCCCGAGACCAAATCTCTTATTCCTGTTCCACGGAGGGTGTTTGATCGGTAGTGTCTACCTCACGCAATTGAGTAGAAATAATTTAAATTCTTTTTAGCTCTCTTCCACGCGAAGAGCGAATTGCGGCGTATCGACAGTTTATAAATATTCGGAAGATTCACGATGAAACTCGCTCCCTATGGGCGACGGAGATGTATCGATTATCGATTGCCAATGAATATCGAAATAAGGTCTTCTGGTTCCCGCACAGTATGGATTTCCGTGGACGTGTATATCCCTGTCCACCCCATTTTCATCATATGGGTGAGTCTAATGCTCTTAATTATTTTAATTATATTATTAATTTAATTAAATATTGTGCAGAAGATTATTTCAGTACATATCCCAATGAGAATGAAGTTGGCGCCTCAAAAACACTTCATTCTTAAAAATACTAAAAGGAGATTTAAGTGTTATATTGAAGAAAATACGGAGTAAGGTGTCATTTTGTCAAAAAGAGAGATATTTAGTCATTTTCTCCTTGACAGCTCACCGTTTTTGAATTCCTCTATCCTGTCAAAACTTCCGTTTGTGGTACACCTTGGGTTTCCTAGGTTTCGTTTAATCGTTTTTTCCTGTCATTTATTTATTTATATCAAATGGCAGGCGTTTTGATGGTTATATTAGCCCTTTAGTTAACTTCGGGCTTCACAGAGGGAAAGGAACATCAAAGCGAAAGAAAGTCGAGAAGGAGGGGGGAAGGGGGGGGGAGACGAGTGTTTCAAATACGAAGGTAGAAAAAATGTGAGGTGAGTACTGTGGAAGTGGTGGAATATGACTACAGTGGTGTGATAGTAGTTTGAAGTCAGAAGTCAACTGTCGGTTTATAGACTTTATTGCCGTATGAGTATACGTTGCCCAAGGTGTGCCACGTGGAGGTAAGTCTATCACACACCCTTTTTACTGTCATGTGCTTCCTTCTTGGTGTTCGTCCTGTTCTAACAAAAATTGGGGCTACTTCGGTTCGGTGGTTGGTTTCTCTGCTGAGTTCAAAGTTCCTCATTTACTTGGATCTTATAGATGCCTTTCCTCATCGCCTAGCCACACTCCCAGCTATTCAGATTTGTTGTATGTGTTCGGAATTCACGAGAACTGCCCTTGAGCACCCCTCCACTTCTCCCCCCATTACTACCTCACAGTAGACGATTTTCCGACCTCCATCTTCACTTTTGCATCACTTCTTCCTCCTCCACTCCTCTTTTGTTTTCATCAGAACACTTTCTAATACGTCGAAAAAACGCTCCGAAACAAGAGTTTCTGATAGCTCATGCATTGGGGAAGATGCAATGGACTCACACTTCCGTTTTCTTTTGTTCGAATCCGCGATAGTACGTAACATCAATCATTCTTCCTCAGATAATTTATTCTCCATCCAAAACTTTGTAGTCTAAGAAAAACCCATCCATTTTCACATGGAGCAGTAATTTCAAACAGGGTGCTTTGTAGAATTTATAAATTTATCAATTATCAATATCGCAGAAGAAGTTGAACACTACCGCAAAACCGAGAATTCAAGAGAGAGATAGTCGTAATATCTTAAGGATTAAGCTGATTTTCGGATTGATACTGTCAAATGCTTTGCAATTCTTTTTGATCTTCTGTTGTTTGTTTGATTGTGCTTGCTTTGAAAGGAGGATCCTGCGTTTGCTATTGCAGCGCGTAGTAGTAGTATGACAAATTTCTACTTCCTATGGACTCGATGTTAAGTTTTCTGTCCGGACATGGTCTCTATCCTCCCCTCCACTAGCGCATCATAACTAACTGCTCTATTCGATGGGGTTAATAGATGTGGCAGAAGAGAAGATGGCGAATTCCAATAATCTTTACAGTAGATCGGCTTTAGAAAAGTTGGCTATTTTGGCAAGATGATCGATTTCTCTTATCTTTGTACCCTTCAATGCCTCTTGGTTCGTCTCTCTCTCTCTCTCTCTCTTACTCCTTTGACACTCTGTCCTGCCTTGTCCATGAGATATCCCTTATATGGACCCCACTTCCAACCGAACGCCTGAGGAATCAGGCTGCTAAATTTTCTCTCATTGGAGCGGGACAACTCGTGGTACATCGCATTGCTATTAAAATTCGGATTGAATTTCCACTGTGGGTTTTCGGTGCAATGAGTCTACTGAACTCCTTCTAAATTTAATTTAAGTGCATTTCCTCTCCCCCTCCCTCCCCCCTCTCCCCCCTTCATCACACCCCCTGCTTTTCCATATTTCTAAACTCGCCTCCCTTTCGGTAACTTTCGATTTGACAAGACGCCAGAAGGATGACCTTAATAATGCCAACTGCAAAAGGACTAACGGAGGCGAAGAGGATGCCACGAGTTTTGGGGGTTTAAAGTGGGGGGGGGGGCGGAGGTTGAGGGGGGAGAGGAGAGTAGAGGAGGAGGGGGGAGGTGGAGAATTCAGTGGTCAGTGAGTTTAGGCTCCCACTTCTGTCACGCAAACTGCTGGCGCCCTTCGAGTTAAGTACTTGGACCTCAACTGGCCAACCGGTCTATCCTTTTCTTTTGTTCGTCTAAATTGGCATGATTAATATATAATTTTCATTTTAAGTCACAAGTACTGTCCTAGTGGGAAGGAGTTCTCTAAGATCTCTCGAAATCAGAGTCTTCTCTCTTAATTTTGGATTTTTGGATTCGGGTTGTGTAATATTTGCCCTATGGCCAATTTGTCACTTCCAGCTGCAAGATTCTATTTGCCTGATTCTCTCTCTCCAGTAGACTACTGAGCCAATTCTTATTCAAGATGCCATTTTCCCTGTCCCAAGTCGAAGAGGCGCATTTGGAAGTGACTTAATGAACTTTCTTACTCATTGAAAGTGGTAATAAGCAAATTGTTCAACTTGAAATTCGATCGATGGCTTGATTCTGTTCCCCCTCCTTGCTGTTTTGGCACAAATTTGCATCAACGCTGGGGGTGGGGGGGGGGGTCAGTTTATCGTTGGATCAAGTTCAGATGTTGTGATTCAACACATTTTAATTGTGGGAAGCAAATGTAATCCGTTAGCACAAAGTCCAACCAATGAAAAGAAAGATGGTGTGGATAATGTCTCACTTCATTTTGGTTTTTTGATTTTAAATTCAAATTCCATGGATCGTCTCAACATTGTCACGGCAATTCCTTTTTTTCCTTCTATTGTTAATATGGTCATATTCAGTTTTTTCGTCCGAAATAATTTTTTTCATTTCTTCGTGTACTCGTCCATTTCTCCTGCTTCACTAACGATTATTTCCATTAATGGACTTTGCTGGATTTTTCTCCAGCTCTCATGAACTCTCCTGAAACATTTCCCTTGTATTGGTCTCTTGGAACCTCATCTAAATGATCAAGAAGAAGAAGAAGATCCACAGATTTGCATCCTACATACATACGTATTCGCCAAGTCACACAACTCTGAAACGCGACTACGAATGCCGTGGGAGGGAACAGGAGTCTATTATGTCCCGGATTCTGTCTGTCTGTGGACACCACAGAGTCCATCAGCGGCAAACTTCATGCAAAGATTGCTATAAATGTCTTCATTCTCAGTTCGGGTCTTTTCCAGGGCATAGGAGAGAGTGAGGCTTGAATTCTGTGCCCATTGGTGCATTTTTTTCGATTCCTTTTTTTTATGAGGAGATGCTAAAAGCCCTTATCTTCAAACGCATCTCCATTCCTCTTCCTTCTCTCTCCCCCTCTCCACCCCCCCTCTCTCCCTCTTGCTTCCAATTCGACACATTACAATGACTAGGTCTTTCGTATGCTTTACTTTGTTTTCGTGTAAAATTTTTTGCTCTGTGATTAGGGTTTGACACCTTTTTTTCACTTAAAAATTTTAAATTACCTTAGAGTTAGTGAGGAAAATTTGTGGTACTTTAAAAATTGCACAAATCTATGAGTTATTTAAAATTAGGTTTTTTTGTGGGATGAGGTGGGGTGCGGGGGGAAGGGGGGGGGAATTCTGTGTATATTTGGTGAAGAATTGGCTAAGCAGCGAATTTGCGAAGTTAATTAATTTTCTCGTAAACAACAACGGTATGTTTATGATAGGCAACCCCCCCCCCCCCCCTCCCCCAATAACTCGTTCTCCGAAAGTCTCTCATTTTAATTTGAAGAAATTTTGCTCAACTGAATTGCCAGCTGTTATGAAACGGTTTCCTTGGGTAGGCAATGCCTTGGGCTCTCTATGGGAAGAAATACAGCTGGTTACTGTGGGGGTGTTAATGAGTTACTTAACACCACTTAGATCCGACGAAAGAGGAGAAAGAGAAGCGATGAAATTGAACAGGGATGTGAGATAGACTTACCTCCACGCGGTGCAACCTGGGAAACGTATAATCATACGGCAAAAAAGTCTATCAACCGGCAGTTGACTTCTCACTTCAAACTACCATCACCCCTTCCACAGTACTCATCTTACCTTTTCTGAGCCTTTGTGTCTCTCTGTTTCTTTTACATCTGTAAATCACTCTTCTATTCCCCCTTTCGAATTCTTCTCATTTTAATGTTCCTCCTCCTCCCCTCTGTGAAGCCCGAAGTCAACAAGAGGGCTAATGGTAATTATCAAAACGCCTGGCATTTGTTATAAATAAAATGAAATTGAACAGAGATTGTGGAAAGAGATTTCAACTCTCGGTGGCGGAAGAAAATGTCCACTGAGGAGCAAAAAGGGGTCCGAAATGGGATAGACTTGATAGAGCTTAAATATGTGTACAGCCTCGTGCAAAAATCATATTTATCCTTCGTCGTGTGGGTTTGTCCGTTGCAGACTTACAAGCGGCAAAATGTAAGTCTCTGGCATAAGTCCGCATTAAAGGAAGTACTTTTCCGATGTTCAATCTTTGAAGCCAACTCTGCTTTCCTCAAACCTGCTAATAATCATTTTTAAGGGTCGATCCGGGTTTATTTCTTTTTTACTAAATGTGCGCATGGTATGGTCGTGGTGGCCTATTCGATTCTTAACATCTTTAATCGACCTCCGAGTTCCTTTTAACTTCTCCAGACCAAATTCCGTGGCGATTCGCTTTCACTAGGCTATCCAAAACCCCATCAAGTTTGTAATGGAACGCCATTATTTCAATCAACATGTCTTCTTCTTCTTCTTCCCTCCTTTATAAATTCACTCAATATGCTCTCTCTCCCTCCCTCCCTCGCGTCTGCCAAAATGGATTTCCTCTCTCGACCTCTCTCACTGGCTTATTACCTTCCGGTGACTTCCGGTTATTTGTCATTTCTGGAAATTATCTCTCTCTCTCTCTCTCTCGAGATTCAACCCCCCTCCCTCCCCCCTCCCCCCCCCCAATTGCGCCTGATATTATGAGCGGAAAACTTGAATCACCATTTAAAAATTGAGTGCATCTTCAATCAAGTGTCCTGACTTGTATTTCTGCCACTTCGAAGTAATAGGAATTTATTCAGGGGTTTTTATTTAACCCATTTGAACGCAACTGTGAATACTTCGAGGCTTTCGTGAATAATAGTTATTGAGAGAAAAGTAGGAAGAGGTGAATTGGCCGATTTCTGTTTTAAAACCAATTATATGGGGGGGGGGGGGGGGGGAGGAGGGCTGTGAAAATGGTCGCTTTTGCAAATCGTCAGAATATCGCAAGATAGTGCCCACTTAAATTGAATAAAGCTGAGGGACCGCGTAGCAATGTTATTGGTTGGTGTTAACGATGGCCTTTTTCTCTTGATGAGTAGCTGGATGATTCAGGTTTTGTTAGCTTTTACCCGAGCTCATCATTTAAGATTTCCTCTCTGTTAATCACGTCATAACAATGTTGGCTAACATCCTTAAGTAACATAGAAAAGATTTCACTCCTTTGGGTGGAGGGAGGGGGGGGGTGTGGAGTTCGAGCCCATATCATCCAATCAACTGGATTCATTTGTCTCAATTTTAACTTGCACTCATGCCAACTTTCAATATCACCGGCTGTCTTTACTTTCCAGGTAGTGACATCGCACGGGGTTTGATTATCTTCGCAAAAGGACTTCCTCTTGGAGAAAAGGGTCTTCGGTGGCTCAAAATTCATCTTGCTAATCTCACCGGCAAAGTTAAACGGTACTTTTTTTGGATATCTTAACTGAACTGGTTCTACCTCTTCTATCTCTAATGTCCTTGTGTTCACCCTTTCATTGCCTCATAGTGACAACAGTTGTTGGTGGGGGAGGGGGGCCTGAATCCATTCGCCTTTCCATATCAGTCAATGTATTTTTAATGATTGTGAAAAGTAGTGTGAGAGGAAACCCTAGAGAGTGAACACATTGTATCTCTAGATCAAATCGCTTGGCATGTTGCGTCAAATTATTAACTGCTTAGACGGACACACACACACAAAGATGCTAGGTAAGCTATCATCTTCAATTCTCGGTGTCTCTTTCAATGCAGTTTTATGATGTGGCATTGTATGTATGTGTGCATTTCTGAGCACCCTTTGGGAAATATAATTATAAGTTGCATTCCAGAATCGAAATTTATCAATATGACGTGATTGAACTTAGCCTAAATTACACCTCACTTGTTTTGTTAATTATTATTTTTTTTTCAGATCTTCAAACGACGAACGAGAGGCTTACACTGAAAGTATCTTAAATGAGGTCATTGATTCAGCTGAAAAACCGTTTGACGTAGGTTGAGTTCTTTGCTTAAAATTGTCGCATTCATTTTACTCTTATGAACAACATCTATTTGGTTACAAGGGGGGGGGGGGAGGGTTCGTTGAATAATAATTAAATAAAATAAATCAGAATGGAAGATGTTTGGATATTCTTCAATTTCCCAAAATATTCCTACCCTTAGGGTTGGCGTTTTCTCATCGCTCAAATGAACAAATACTTGCGCGAATTTGGTCTTGTGTGTTTTAACCTTAATTGTGGATGTATCGATCGAGGAAAAAACCTCTCTAAGGTGGCAATCACATTCGGGATGAGGGCAAATAGGTGGTATTAGCCATCTTCAGTACGGGCTTTGTCTTATTATAACTAACACTGGTCTAGTAGTAGAGCCTAGTAGTGGGGCAACGTGTTACTCCTTTTTTTAACGCCCCTGCAGGACCGTACGCGGTCCTCTTTTCAAAGTAAGCTCCATTGGTACTGGACTCCCAACAGAAGGCGCTACTATTGGCGTTTGTAGCACATTCAATGCGTGTCTATAGCCGCCGTCGTCTGATGTCACCACCAAAACTCACCACGTCGGCGGCGCCATCAGTCTGTTGCTGCTGCTGCTGCTGCTACGAGACACGCGTGAGCGCGGTCGGGTGCATTTTTCATGAAGTAATTCGGTCGTTAAAGGGGGTTAACGCCGATCTCTCTTTTTATTCATGCACAGTGGGAGTCAAGGCGGTGGGGGGGGGGGTGGTGGAGTATTTGCAATTCCCTTAACAGAATTCCTACCATTTATTTGTGGGCATACATCGTTCTCAAGTCACTATTATAACTAATGTGTCCCTTTATCTGCAAAGACTAGCCTACATTACACCTCTTCAGCATATATACCAATACGCAACTTTTAAACCTTACAATTTGGAGAAAAGGATGGTGGGGGGGGGGGAGGCAATCAGTCAAGGGGTTCGTGATTCTTTACAAATTTGCAACTCAACTCAGAAGACTGCAATATTCTGATGGATGTTAAGCCACTAACATTGGTGCAACAATGGCTGTTTTCTATGATTAGATAGACTAGTCGGGGGTTGGGGGGGGGGGGGGGGGGGGGGCACAGAACTTTACAACGGAAAATTCCACTCTATTTTGTAAGGATTAATAACAGCTGGGAGCGAACGCTTATCTCCCCCCCCCCGCCCTCTCACTCCTCTCATCCTTAAATAAGTGGGATTTCGGCATTTCTACTTCCAATTTGCTTCTTTTTGCAGACGGCCAACTATTGTTAACTTTGCTATTTTTTCACTCAACGTAACTGGCAACAATGCAATAGGAAAACAGCTGATGTTGGCCACTTAAATTTCAAATGTGATAATATGCAAACAATTGTACGCTTGATGGGTGGGCGGTAGGGAGGGCGGCTGGCTGTGGTAGAGTATAGGGGATGTCTGAGACAGTGAAAATATTACATTATTTTTTTTCTTATTTCTGTTCGTCCACCCCCCCCCCCCTCCCTCCCATTCGCATTTTAGGGAGAAAAACAAATTGCGAAATAGTTGAATTCCCCATTGTTAGTCACGCGATGAAGGGGCGAAATCTATTTAATTTTGAATTGTAAACGATGAGCAACAATTGCTGTTTGTTTGTTTGTTTCTTGAGGGAGTTCATTGGTCACTTCGCGCTTGTCTGCTTGCTGGTTTTCCCCATCACACGATTATCGTTATTATTGTTGCCAAATGTGATTTGACTACGATATCTGCTATTCCAATATTAGAATCTAAATTCCGTAATGTTTTTTTTATTTATATCAAATGGCAGGCGTTCTGATAGTTATCATTAGCCCTTTAGTTGACTTCAGGCTTCACAGAGGGGAAGGAACATCAAATTGGAAAAAAAGTTGAGAGGGGGGGGGACAGAAGAGTGTATCAAAGACGAGGGTAGAAAAGATCTAGAAAATGTGAGGTGAGTACTGTGGAAGTAGTCAAATATGACATACAGTGGGATCATGGCAGTTTGAAGTCAGAAGTCAACTGCCCATTGATAGACTTTTTTGCCGTATGAATATACGTTGCCCAGGGTGCACCACGTGGAGATAAGTCTATCGCACACCCCAATTCCGTAATGTTAAGCGTGGTTGCTGCTGATTTGCTAGTAAGTTGGAATGGAGAACTCCTGTAGCCCTAGACCTATAAGACATTTCATATCTTGGGTGCAAAAGATTGGTTAGCTGCCTGCTTTGCAAGCAATATGACTTTGAGAACATTCCATTTCTCACACCAGCTCGGTGGTTGGGTAATCTGAAACTGAGTCTCTCGAGAATTGAATGAATTCTCTCCAGACGTTAAACATACTCCATCTCAATCCTCTCAGTGCTCTCCTTCTGGTGGGCTAACCATCGCCTCTATCACATTGTTGTCCCCCCCCCTGTATCCCAAGTTGTCTATTGCACCTCAGTCTATGTTTTTTTTCTTCTAAAGACGTGTTGTTCCTGGTTGAGTGACGAAAATCTCCTAAGAAATGCTTGAAAGTTCAGAGAAGAAGAGGAATAATAAGAAGAAGAAGTGAATCTCTATCTTTTGTCGGGAATCGAAGCAATTCCCAAATCCTCATTTTTCCCAAATTTAAAATCCAACTTAAGGTAGTGGTATTACTATTATTCACTTGTTATTGGTAGGGACCAATCGATAATTTTTTCCCCATGAAGAGGTTTTGCCTGCAGTCTTTACTCTACCCTGTCCCTTTCGATTTGTTCTAATTGCAAGTCCAACTTTTCTTCAATTCAATTTTCCCCCATTATCAAGAAATGAGTTCCTGCTTGTCAATCAAAGATGTGTCTAGTGTAATCTGCGTCCTCATATAATAATTAAACATCAATATACATTTTCCAGGGAAAAAAATGCTCAAGTGGACGCAAATTCTATAGGCATTCATTCTTTCCCCATTCTCGTTTGTACGGTCTCGAGCAGTCTATTCGCTTAACTAAATGGGTACTTAAATTATTAGTAAAACCAAGTAGGGCTAATTAAACAAGTATACGCTCCACTTTTGAAAATAAAATTCTTTATTTTGAAGTGGAAGGCGTTCAGGGGAACACGCTTTTTTGTGTCCTTTTTCTTTTCCATATGATTATGATTGAATATAGTTCTCTGCGCGTGCAATTGCAAACACGGGGTTGATAGTAGGCTCTTGCATTTCCGATAGTGGACCATAATTTATATGCCAACTGGCAAAATTGGCAGAATTTTTTTTAAGAAAATCTCTTCTCTTCTAGGCTATTCTGCCATGAGAAAGTATTTGGAAAATGTCTGTAAACCTGACATCTTTTCATCTTAGATGCTCTTCAATTAATTAGCATCAATACAATATGAACGTTATTCAGTTTACGACGTGATATTACGAATTCAAGTCCTACTAATTATTAATACATCGACTTTACTCTGACCTGATTGGTTAGATTTTCTCCTTCTACTCCATGAGTGCCTAATTGGTGAAAAATTCAGCATTTGTGGGCTCAGGGTGTTGTTATTGTACCACAGCCTTTTAAGCCATAGGTGGAATATTAAATGATCTCCGTCCGTCAAACTGATAGCTGGATTTGAACGATATTGATGTAACATAGCCCTATGGATTTGCTGGTGGTGAGTTATGCGTGAATAGAGTAACAATTTTTTTTCCACGGAAATATTAAAAATCAATAATTTTCCTCGTGCAGATAAATATTGATTCTTCTGGTGAATTTGATTGGTCGTATAATTTGTATTTGAAAAGTTCAATTGGGAAAAATTAGAAAAGGCTTGTAGTCTACTTTAGAACTTAAATAACTGTGACGAATATCATTGAAGTAATCAAGATACAGATATTTTCTAAGGTCATCTTGAATGTAAGAGCCATGACGTTGGGGAATTCCAAAACAATATGGAACCTACATTCATATTACTACTACTATAATCAGCTTAAATCACTGTCTATCAGGGACGAGGTTGGTGGCGTGAACAAGAGGAGCCCTGGCAAACACTCGCCTGTTGTCGTGAACTGACAGCCGCCTTGCGCCACCCAACAGGTCCAGCTGACTACATCAACCACTTCCCCGTCCATCAAGACGGTTCCTGCAATGGTCTCCAGCACTACGCCGCCATGGGGAGAGACGAACGCGGTGCTGCCTCCGTTAGCTTGGAAGACTGTGAACGACCTCGCGACGTCTACACTGATGTCACTGAAGTGGTAGGCTTTAGTTTATTAAAATAACACAATTAGTATGCACATGTTTAAAATAATACAAAGGAGACCAACTGTCGCATATTAACCATTTTGTTCTCAGAAGTGCTAATATATATGTCTATCGGTTGTATATCATTTATTTTCAGGTTGAAGCCCAACGCAAAGAGGACGCTGATGCAGGTGTTGAGATCGCAGCTATCCTGGAAGGTGCAGTTCAACGTAAAGTAATCAAGCAGTCTGTGATGACAACTGTCTACGGAGTGACCCTCTACGGTGCTATGGCACAAATCAAACGACAGCTGCGAGAACTGCCGACATTTCAGACTCAAGCTGGGGCTGATGCTGACAAACGACTGGGTCCGGCTTCTGCCTATCTTGCCAAGCTGACTTTGACGAGTATTGGAAAGATTTTCACTTCTTCCGCGGCAACACAAGCCTGGTTCGCTAAGGTACGTGGTGCTTTTTTTTCTTGAAAGGGGAGAGAGGGGGGGGGCGTATTTGCTCCCCAAAATTCAGTTCTTTCGCTAACTTTTTCACACGTCCCTTGTAACATAGCCTTTTTAAGCGCGCGCTCTCCGTCTTCCATAACCTCACTCTTTTTTTACGTGTTTTAAATATTCAAAGTCGGGATTGGAGTCATTTCGAAAATGAATTCTCAGGTATTTAGTAAACATATATATAAAAAGTGAAAGTAAAGTTACCCGTAATTTCTTTCTTCATTGGAGAGATGTTCCTATTTTCGAGTTATATTACTTTACACTAAATAATTAGCCTGACCAATCAAAATACAAGCTGATTTTAGTCGAGGCAACGCCAAATTTAATCAGAAATCAATAGTTATTGGTAAAAAATTTTTTGTTGTGGTTAATAATCGATAATGAATTTGCGGCTTTTGAAAGCCAATATTCCGATTTCGCGAGATTTATCGACACTGCCCCTGGAGAAAATCGATTTCATTAATTTCCTAATTGCTATGACATGATTTAATGATGGGAATTAGACCTGCTTGTAAAAGAAATTTTGTTTGCTCTCAGTACTGTGTGTGTGCGTGTGTGTGTGGTGTGTGTGTGTTTGTGTGTGACTCTTTCAATTATGGATAACGTGTACTGGTCTCTCATGGCTGGGTTTGCTCAGCATAACTAATCTTTGTTGGTGAGGAAGTAAGTTGTGGTTTCTGTTAGGTTTACTTTTTTGACAAAACAAATGGGAAAAACATATTAAGGCGAAAAAAACAGGTGAATCTTTTTTTAACGTCTTTGCTTATTAGGCAATTACCTCTTGCCGTAATCCAGCGGGGGGGGGCATTTTTCGTTGATTCACAAAAACATTTAATTTTTTTTTCCCCTAGCAATTCCCTTATCCGAGCAATCTATTACTGGGAGTATAACAAAGGGCTTCTTAAAACAAAAGCACCCAATTTGATAATTAAAACAGAGCAATTGAGGTTGAAGTACGAGTGAAGAAAAGAGGGGAATGTGGGGGAATTAAAGGCTTGACGTTCCAAAGCTTTTGTCACCTGTTTTCCGGACTACTAAAATGTTTGGTCTTTGAAGTGAGCGGTTATTTGTACCAAATTAATCGATTGGCTGACCTGAGAGACTGGTAAATCAATCAATTTCAATAGTTTTAGCTGCCATCCTTATTCCGAGGTTTTATGTTCAGAAGTTTAAATTATTAACAACCTTTGTTAAAATTCTAAAGCCGATACTATTGAAACATGTTTTCTAGTCATTAAAATTGATATATATATATATATATATATATATATATATATATATATTTGACGATTGGTAGGAAATTATGGAGTTTGAGACAGTTGAAATGGAAAGAAAGTGCATTTTAACTTATTTCTTATTTAAATGAAAAGGGAGCAATATCCAGGGCCACAATTTTTGTGCCTTCTGAGCTTATAAATACGCAATGTGCAGATTGAATCCCAAATTTTACCTTCTTATTCTTGGTTGAATTTAAGCAGACATTTACACCACTGCTGCAGTGTAGCGCTTATTTTGAAACCAGGCCCGCGTTATCTGCTTTGAGGCGCGCGCGCGCGCTACAACGTGTTAAATTTTCACCTACTTCCGTGTTTTCTCCCCTTCATTACAGCGGAAATTGTCTTCTCCCCTACAACTTTAATTTTTTTGTGGCGATCTTGTAACCTACTTGTCTACCTTTTTAAGGGCATCCAAAAAGCAAGAAAGGGGGTGTCGTGGTTATTGAAAATTAATGTGATCACCTGTTCTACTTCTCTCTCCCCTTAATTGCACTTTTTAATTTATCACTTTTTGCCTTTGAATTTGTTTTTTTTTGTTTCAAATTCGATTCTCAAATTTATCAACTATTTCACGCTTTTTCCTGATTTTTTTTAAATCAACCCGGACTCAGTTTATCTTTGTTTTTTTTTTGTTCTAATGTTTGCTTTGTTAAGTTAAAACAATCTCAAATAACCTGTGAAAGCAGGTTTTGAACTCAAAAGGGGTGGGGAGGGGGGCAAGTATCTCTTTTGAAGTGGAGTAAATATTGATTATTTGATTTGTTGTCATTATTATGATCATCAAGTTTGATTAGACGGTTCGATTCGAACTGAAACTTGCTGCACTTTCTACCTCATTTTGCAATCAATACCATGGACTGTTTTGGGGTGTGTGTAGATGTTTTGCAGATCAATTTTTAAATGGATTTTTTGGCGTCACCAATTCCATCTTCATAGCCAAAAGTGGGGCCTTAACTTGGTTAACAGGTTAATACCTTTCTTTAGCAAAGTCACATCAACAAGACTACGATAGCAATTTTGCAGTGAAGTGCAAATTGGACGATTTACGGTTGAGCTTTTAAGTAGAGTTAGCCATGATTTCTCAGAATTCATAATTATTCATTGGAAATGTGTTTTCTCGTAGGTAATAAAAATTTTATTACGTTTGCTGTTAAGCTCTCGAAGGAAATGAGATAAGCAGCAGAAGTAGCAGTAGCACCAGCAACGTCATCATCATCTTCATTCAATCTTCCGAATTGCTACACTGCCATTGGTACGACTTTTCTCTCAGCTTTTATGGCTTGAGAATCGCCCTTATTTTATAATAATCGTGACTGGGAAATCACATATGCCAACGTATGTGGTCCCTCATCATTAAGTTTCGCTTGTTGACTTACTAAACCAGGCTCAAACAGACGCTTCCAATTCAATAATACAGTAATTATACGTGAGAAAAGGAAAATTAATGCAATGCTAGGAGGTCACGGTTCAAAGTGACATCTCGATTTGTTAGAGTCAGAATCGGTAGTATTGGTCATTGAACTGTGGTGACGGTCTCATGAACTGATAAAGTTACTCTAAACGTTGCCTTAGTGAAAACGCCTCCCCCACCCCCCACTCCCCTCCCCTCCTCCCTATCTATTTTAATTATGTCAGGGTTCAAAAACTTGGGTCTACTTACATCCCCGGTCATGTCATATTGATTCCTTTTTTCTGCCTTCTTAGAGGCATGAACAGATGGGTAGACACCTTTCGAATCATTATTATTATCACCATCTCTTTTTGTTTGCATGTAATGCAATTTTTTGTTTAAATTCAGAAAACAATGCATTCATTTATTGGGCTAAAAAGAGAGAGAGAGGGAAATAAATCGACTTTGTTGCTCCTGAGTGAGGGCAAGCGGGAGGGAGGTAGGGAGAGGTTCCAGATGTTGACTTGTTAAGTATGCCCTGAAAATCTCCTCTACCGCTTCGGTCGGTCGGTTGGTCGAAAGCACACACACACACACACACACACACAAACAACTGAGGCTTTGTCGCAATTCCTTTTAATTTGACTCTAATTTGAATTTATTTTGGGTGAAGAAGGCGCGCTACCAATCGTGGGGTCGTTTGTAGGGGCATGACTTCTAATTTGGCTTGAGAAAGTAGGGATGCCAAATTTCTTTAAATATATTCACTTGGTCGCAAAATATCGCCTTATTGAATTACTTCCAGCGTTTATTTACTGTGGAACACAGAGACAGAGAGGGAGACCTCTCTTATCTTATCGATTTCAGGCAATTATTAATTTATTTATTTATATCAAATGGCAGACGTTTTGATAGTTATCATTAGCCCTTTAGTTGGCTTCAGGCTTCACAGATGGGAAGGAGCATCAAAGTGAAAAAGGTCGAGATGGGGGGGGGGACAGAAGAGTGTTTCAAAGACGAAGGTAGAAAAGGTATAAAAAAGGTGAGGTTAGTACTTTGGAAGTAGTCGAATATGACAAAGAGTGGGGTCATGGTAGTTTGAAGTCAGAGGTAAACTACCGATTGATTGAAATTTTTGCCGTATGAGTATACGTTGCCCAGGGTGTACCACGTGGAGGTAAGTCTATCGCACACCCCTTTCTGGCAATAATATGATTAGCTAATTATTACTGCGTGCGTGAATTAAGATAAATATTTATCTAGATTATATATATTTATAAATAAATAAATATATGCATGATCTTAAAATACGCTTTTTATTTGCTGATGGCATAATGCCATTATGCCTCTAACGCTTGTGCTCTTCCGATGCGGGTGTGTGTGTGTGTGTGTGTGAATGCAGCATCGTCAACTTGGAGACCACTGGTTCGATGCAAATCGGGACACACAGTGGCCTACACTAAAAGCTCCTGAATCGAAGGCTTCAAAATATCTACTCTAGTTAAGACTAGTGCTGACTAAAGAATTCCCCAAACTCATTTGAATCTAGGAAAGGCGTCTTGGAGATCTTCTTATAAGAAAATGACACTCTTTCACTTTTGACTAGAAATTGGAAGTTTTTCCCTAATGACCTAATAGAAATCAATTCAACGAAACCTAAATATAGTAGAGGGGGGTGGGGTGGGAGGGGTGATTCGACCGTAGTTGTACACATTTTAAGAAAACTACCTGTTGGACATATCAAATTGAAATCCAGTCCTAGACAACTGAGTAAACGTCTGCAGACTGGTAGCACTTAGCCCCTTTTGACAGGATTCTGGAGACTGTGCCCACTTAAGTGGAATTAATCCTAATAGTAACTGAAAAACGCTCTGAATACAATTATCATCTATGAAATAATAATAATAATATTATTATTATTGGGAGAGCTATATCTTGACGACATTTCGATTACATTTCCACTAGAGCTTATGCACATTTGTTGTCAAATCACTTGCAGGAGTGAAATTACAACTTTACCATTGCCGTGGTGGTTCCCCGTTAAGTAGAAGTCATTTTTTTGCTCAAACAACTGTACTCCTCACACAAAACTAAGACGCGACCTATTCAGGACGTGTTCTCTTCGATGCCCTCAATATGCCTGTTCTTGGAATGATTCTTGTACCGAAGCGAAGCCGTGTGAATTTATTCTCTTAAATTTCGTCTATTTGGCCGCACGAAGCTCGAATGTCCCTAAAGCGTTTCAATCTGCTTACTTGCAGTAATTTCTCCTAAAATCTACTCTTTCTTGGTACACTTTTCACACCCTG